AAAAAAAAAAAAAAAAAAACAGTCCCAGAAATGCAAGTATGTGTTAAATATCATCAATGGTCCAATTTATATAAAAACGTTTAAACAAATTTTGGCAAATCGTTTTAAAAATATTTTTATTTGCACAGTTCTCATTTAAGCAGATAATTTTGAGAATTATTTTTGAAAAAAAAGGCTGATTTTTTTTTACATTTTTTTAAATATCGTAATTTATATAATTATATTATTATGAAACTATTATATAATATATTACAATTATAATTATAATATTGTTATCACGTCCCCGAGCAACTGGCAAAGTCCTTTGTGACGGTCCTAAAGTGCAGTCTAATCTGTTTAGCCTAACGTCATAACACCAAGTAAAACGCCAATAGCAGGAAATAACACTCCGGATATAACTTACCTTTCTATGTGAGCCGTTCATCCGGACCAAGCTGAGCCGCCAATCAAGGATGACTTTGTACACCTGTGGCTTCGAAAGCGTGTGGCGAAATGTTTCAGCGTCACACGCCGCGATATCCTTGACTTTTTTTCTTCATCTGCCGTATAAAATAATAAATAAAATTAATAAAACAAGAACAACTTTACGACCTTAGTATTCCAGTATTTCAATCAATACTGTCAGATTAATCGTTGATGTGTGTGGTTGTGACAGACGTAAGTTGAACATTTATGAAAATAAAAAACAAATCATATATTGGCTCAATACAGGGCGCGACATTACATTGCCAAATAAAGGATGATGCTGTATTTAAAGGATGGGTGGCAACCCTATGTAAGTCTATGTGTAGGTGGAAACTGACGTTTAAAGAGCGCCGGTTGGAGAGCACAAGAAAAACATTTCAAATAACCAAGATATCAAAGTTAGGAAACATACGGTTCTGTACCTGATGCATGACTGTATGTTTGACGTCAACTGGGTCTGCAGTACTGGTGTCTTGATTCACCTGTCTCCAAGTTTTCCATCGTGTATGTGACTTAAGCACGAGTTCTCCTCCCGATCATTCATTGCAACAGTTTCCAGGATCTTCCTTCATGCGTCACGTGAGATGCGTTCAGGTTTCATCGGAAACCTGAGCAACTGGTACTGAACTTTACTGAATTCAGTAAAGCATGTGATACAAAATGTACCAAAGTACACATCAAACAAAACGCACTCAAGTACAAGTAAAATACTGTTATAGTTCTTAACAGGTACTTTTCTTTTTCAAATCCTTGCATCTGGCCCACATGTGAGGTTATTTGTGGGCTGGAACTGGACCTGGTTTGACACCTCTTATCTAGATGCAAGTTAACCAACTCCCTAATCCCTCCTTTGTTTTCGGATCAATTAATTGTATTATATCGTATTATAATGCTAATTTCCTGTTCCACTGTGTCTCCAACTGAACTATTTTAGCATCAATTTTAAGGACAAAGCGGTGCAGTGGTCTGTCTGCTGCACAATTCACAGTTCGATTCTTACTCAAGCCGTATCGCGTTGTTAAGGAAGCGCTGGAGCCAAAGGCTGGAAAACAGAAAACTTTATTGTGTTGTGTGTTTGAATCAAGGACAAACAGGTTTCTTCCAGATTCCCACTCTGTGACCAGGGATGGCGAAAAACATCGAGATGTTAGCGACGTCGTCCCGAATTCAATGTCAAAGAACAACACGGATAACTTAAGTTGACATTTAATTAATAGGTGAAAATATGGACACTGACTACAGAAGAGGTGTAATACAGAAGTCATACAAACCATTGTTTCTTTTTAAAACAAATATCTCATATTTTCGTCTTTTTTTTCCTTGTATATTGGATTACATTTATATAACTGAAATACAAACAGAACAGACTTCAATTAAAAGCCATCGCCATTTTTTTTAAACAGTGAGACGAGATCTGCCCTTAATCTTTAAAGATAATATTTGCATGTGTTTTATACAAAATAGCCTTTTTTATCAATCAGTAGGAGCTTAGTGCAATACCATCACGCTCTGGCAGATTTATTTTCACACGGATTTTTTTTTTCTTGTCTTTTTTTTTTTTTAACCTATATTAAAGTGACCAGTAAATCCTCACAGCAATATACATGAGATCCAAAGCCTTGACCTTTACAAAAGTTACCAGCCGGATATAAAGAAGTACAAGCAGGTAAGTGCTACTTAAAACATAAGTACTTGAATACTTTCTCTTTGTTTGTTAAATCTTTTAGTCTTTTCTGCTTTGGTCACTCTATCACTCTACACCACTTTCCTTACGTGTTGCCTTTAAAACCTTTTAAAACACAGTGAGACCTTCCCCCGGTCGAATTAACAGAAAAAAAAAATACGTTGACTTCACGAGACGAAAATGTTTCAACACTTCCTAAAGTATTCAACACGACTATCTTTATCAGACACAGACCGACGAAAGGGAAAAAAATATTCACCTTCTCCGCTCATTCAATGTACAAAAAGGACAGAGTCAAACTATAATAAAGAGGATCGAGCGGATGTATTCAAAAATGCAGATTTTTTTTCTTTTCTTTTTCTCATTCACAGCACATTAACTTCCACAAGCATGGACATACGTTTGCTCCGCTTCCTGACTTGTAATCTTATTTCTATGGCTCGCCCTCTCCCTTTCACAAGGCCTCGAAACACAAAGTGAAGCTGAGGAAAAAGAAAAAAAAAGGTGTATAGGAATATAGAGTTTACGTCTATGTAAAAATATTTCCATAGTAATATTAACACACACTGGATATACTGTACATCTATGGCCCTTAGGAAATAAGCAGGGATTTTTTTTTTTAAATACATTGACGTGTTAAAGCTGGTTTTTGCCAAGCGCCACGTGACGTGACGACGATTGTAATACTGTATGCATCACACTTTAGACAGTACTCTGTTCACAATCTTCCCTGGAATTATCAACAAAGACATGGAACCAGTGCTCTCTAAAGCCTAAGGCCACGATACGGAGCTTCAAACCCCGACTGTGCAGGAAAACGAGCCCGGAGCGATAGACATATCCTTTGGCTGATTGATAACATGATGGCTTCCTAATGAATGGTGGTTCCAATGTATCCGCAGCCTGTGGTGCTGCTAACTGTAAGTAACGCGCAAATGGTCAGTCTCTATGACAACATGTTAGTTAAGTTCGTTAACTGCCCTTCAGACTTGTGTGCTGCAGGAGGAGCAGGAGGAGGAGGGAGGAGGAGAACCACTCAGACGAACAGCTGAAAATCTATATAGTCCATGCTTCGGGCAAAGAGGCCGGGTTATCATGAAAATCATGAAGGAAAATGGAAAAACGTCTCCTTGAGTCATAGTGATGACAGGTATTAGCTTTATAGAACAACTGCAGCACTGTTCAGGTGTCAAGGTCCGAGCACCTGCGTGTATTACTACCAAAGTAATTTCCAGATTAAACACAACACACCGTAGTTTTGGGGAAATGGACCGTTTTTTTTGTGTGCATCGGACAAAAAATAGTGTTAGTGATGTTGCTGTATGAAATTTTACATCTCTTCAAAATGTGTTCAAAATGCCAATTGTACTGGGGGAGACAATGTATCCAGTCAATACAGTCCTAATCTAAAAAACATTTCTGAAGTCAGAAGGAATTCCCAGTCTTCCCAAAATAGATAAATGATCAAATGTATATTCCAAAATACACATTGGAAATCAATATGAACTTATGCCAAATACGTTGGAGGCGAAATACAAAATAAATACATTGTCAGAAAACTCTAAGACATGTTAGAATTTCTAAAACCGTCAGGTTCAGGTTTTAAGACCCTCAGTAAAGGAGAAATTAAACTCAAATAAAAAAATAAAAAACCCACTTGAATTTGAATTGAACGTTTGCGCCGTTAGTTGTAGGAAATATGCAGGTTGTGAACAGGTTAAATTAGTTTGATTTTTTTAAAATATATTACTTACTTATTACTTACTCTATACAAAATATTACTTTTAAAAACTGCGGAGCACTGTTGGCATTTTAATCGACATAAAAAAAATTTCCCCAAGGACTTTAGTCGTCTTAAGACTTTTCTATCATTTTTACAGATTTCTGCTGACGTGTCAGGTTCTCATCTCCTCTCTGATATTTTTTCATTAACACAGGAAATGTAACTAACATGCATTGCTCACAGGCCAGAGATGAAATCACCTTTTTGATTCATGCCGCTTCCTGTTTAAGAGGAAGTTCTGTCCTTTGAGATCATCCTGACCTCAACGTTCACAGCTGTGTTCTAGCGAAGCTGCGCGAGGACTGATACGTGTCCTGATCGAGCGCTGACTTTGTTAAGGAGGAGATGCTCGGGCCCCGTCGGTAGTGCCTGCAGCGGTGTTCTAACTGTGGCTGAAACTTTTAATTTTCACAAACCAAAAGCACCAAAAAATGCTGATCAGCCCCTAACTGACGACAACAAAGCACTCTTTCTTATTATTTTTTCCTTTTTAAAAAACGTATACGACATTGTTGTGCATCACACTTCTGCACTATCGAAGCTGGTGTACTGTAGGTGTGACACTGCACTGTTCCATGAATGAGCACCCTAAGTCTCAAGAACCAAAGAATATCACATGATCACTGAATATTAATATCACTCTGTCAAACTCTCCAGGAACATTACACACGACATTTGGCACTAGAGTAGAAAATACATACATGTGACGTAGTAACTCCCATCCTGAGCGTTCATTTACAAACTATTTTGGACAAAACTACTCTTTTTTTTTATTTCTCCAAAAAATATATCATCTGTAGAGGTGAACTCCTTTTATGTGAAGAGAGGCTTCCTCTGGCCATTGTAAGAGCCACAGTTTCATAACAACTCCACTTCCTGTTTGTTCAAAAACTCCAAGATGAAGCTGATTAAAGGGAAACTTTCAGAGTACAAGGTGTTTTCAGAGGAGTGCAGTAAATTACAATACTCCTATGATCATCACCAGTCCCAGGCGATGCAGCAAAGACTTTCTTGAGCATTAAATTAGGAGTTTGATCCCCGTATTTTGGCTGCAACTGAGAAATATTTGAATAGGATTTCCACATATCCCGACACCACACTGAACACACTGTAGCAAAGCAGCTGGCAGTGAAAGGAACATTTGCATTCCATCTATAAGTTCCCTGCACACAGACACACCAGCACTGTATATAAAATGTTTCTCTTTAGCAAATGCATTTGAACAAAAAGCAAAAAAAAAGTTCTGTGAACAGCCCACAGCTGAAAAGTCTGTCTGTACCTACGTAACACGCGAGCATCAGCTACGACTCCTTTCCTCTCCAGTGGATCACCTGTAGCTCAAAGCTGGTGGCAGATATTTATAAGGGAAACCATTTTAAATGTGTGTGTATATATATATATGTATATATATATATATATATTAAAAAACAATATTTGTTATTATATCCTCAGTACTGACGACAGCGGTGTCGCTCACCAGTCACATTCCGATTAACTTCAGATTCTCACACACACTCAAAATGTAAAACTCGAGATTATCAGAGCTGCAATTAACCCTATATGTAAATTCCTCGTGTATGTCTTGGTGATGGTTGAGTAAAAAGCTGCCGAAAAAAAGAAAACCAACAAAAATGAAAAAAACAAAAACAAAAAAAAAACAGTACCAGCATATAAAATATACAGACGTGATGTGTGTTTAAGAAGTTACATTCCTATGCAATGGAAATGGCTGAATGGCTGTGCGGAGCTTAAAAAGCTAAAAGGCACTGGTTTTCCCTTCTCAGACGCATCCTGTGTAAACATTTAACAGTGTGAACGCTCGTCTGTGAGTGTGTGTGGTGAGAACATGTGTCAGCTGACCGACTGAAAACACTTCAATCTCACTGTTCTTGTGGGAGGAGATGACGTTCGAATGAAATAAAAATGTGTCACCTAATAACTTCTCTCTGTACTTTTGTTGGGTTTTTTTCCCCCCTCCGTTATCAAACAGTGAGCGATCCCTCAGTCATCACATTCTCCACACCACCCACGCTGGAGCTCAGAAGAACAAACAAACATGTTGGACAGGTGAGCAGAAGAGAAGAGTATACTCTAGTCTGGTCTAGTGTGGACAGGCTGCTGGACAGTAGGTTTGTTGAAGGAGGAAAAGGCAGTTTCTCGTCAGTTTAAAAGCAGTCAAACAAATGCGGCAGGAAAGGCAGAAGGGGAGTCAAGATTAAAAAAAAAAAAAAAAAAAATTTAAATTGCTAAAATTTAGTCTGACCACTTTCATCTGGAGGCCAAATTCTTCTTGGTTAGCCAGAGCGATTGACAAAAACTGTTCTGGTCTCCCAGTGTAGTGTGGCCAAATCTGAGAGTGGATGAAGAGGCGCAAGGCTACAGATATTGTGCTCTTGGAGGAGGATTTAAGTCATTGCTTCACAGTTTAATTAAGGCAGTCATTTCTGGTGAAACAGAAGAGGCTTGATGCTCCCGTCCTTGAATTTTGGTATCTGGTTGGTGATGATCTCCGCCAACATCTCTGGGAATTCCACGCTCAGGGTTTTATTCACAAAGGTGTAGAAACAGATCTGGAGAAGGCCCTCTACCATCTGCAGGAGACATGCAGACCAAAGACATTAAGAGCGGCTTCAAATATAGTCTTAAAAAAACCGCAACATCTAATCTGTGCGCCAGGGTGAAATTCCCCCCCCCGTCTTATTGGAAAGCAGAGGCAGAGAGAAGCTGTTAGAGTCTGGGCTGGAACATAATGCACTTTGGCGAGTGTATTCCTCTGGGTTTACTGTAAACAACATGAAATGAGGATGTCAGGCACTGACGCTTTTACTCCACCGATGAAATGAGAACTCCTGGCTGGTGTAAAGAAGTTACGACAGCAGCCCTGTTACACACACTGTTGAAATCTTAAACACAAGAAGAGCCTAAAAGACCTGCGCCATCTTTAATTAACATTAGCTGACGAAAGATAACAGGTGTAAACATAGAGCATCACATAACATTCGACCAGCTGTTTTAACCGCTGACATGCGGCAGCATTTTGGGTTTTTTATTAAGTAAATACAGATGTGAATAGATGTGATGGACAAGAGACACGTTAAAAACTATTTGTTATTTAGAAAAGAAATGTCATTATTGACTTAAGAAATATAACCTTAAAACCTTATTGCTTATTTGTCTGAGGGATCGTTTGACTCCATGACCTATTTTTGACGTTATTTTTATTTGTCAACTGGAGAAATACTTTCATGTCATTCAAAAAAAAAACGTGCAGAAGTCCCATTACTGTTGTCTTCTCCATTTTTGTAAATTTCCCAAATGTGGGATGAATAATGAATATAATGAAATTCGGACTTGACAGAAATCATGACAGGATTTCATTAAAGGAAAGGATTTCTTTTTGTGCAAATTATCAATTCGTGCCACAGTATGTAGAGGAAACTGTGTGTGTGTGTGTGCGTATGTATGTATGTGTTCCTCTGACCTCCTGCATGGAGTCCAGTAGCTTAGTCAGCTGGTAGAAGCGTTGCCAGTTTTGACTAGCGTTCTCCTCTCTCTTGACGATGGCTTTTCCCAGCTCCTTGATGTAGGCCATCCTGATCTCATCGAACACGCCCTGACTCTTTAGGCCGTCTTTGGGGACTAGACACACACACAAACAAATTCAAACACACAAGTTTTACAGTACAGATATGCAAATACCTGGAACAACATTAGTTGAAGAGTCTTTTTCCTCTGCTCATGTCTTCAATGAACATATAGGGTTGTATACTGCAGTCGCGCAGACCTACTTTCACTGAGTGAATTATTTACAGAATGTGGTGGTGCTGTAAAATGTCCTGAGAGCGAGTCATGCCTCACTAACCCCACTGCCTCATTAAAACAAATTAAATTCTTCCAAAGATTCATATGTATTCCGTGCCGGGGATAAAGAATGACAAAACTGTTTGAGCCAATGTTAATATTTCCATCTTTAGATGGAGAAAAAAAAAAGTTGTGTATGCAAGACCAGGGAAATGTCATTTCCTCTTCCTAACATCTATACACTCTCTTAAGTGCTTCCTTTCACCTGCCACTCAGTGGAGGAGTGGGTGGTAGTACACTTCTCTGAAGCCAAAGTTAAATTTACATAAGAATCAAATATAGAAATAATTGCTATGGTCTTTGGATTTCTTTTGTAACCGTATTATTTTTAGCTTTCCAGTTTATCCACATTTAAACCGTCACAACATAGACTCTTCAGTTGTAGGATTTCAACAGATGTTCATGTGGGACCCTCACTCTCCGAAAACAGTAACTGCAGTCTCCAATATATGCAATGTACTCTGGGTTTTTCTGTGTTCTGGTGGCCAAGTGTGTTCCCTTACCTGTACTGAGCAGCAGCAGGACCTTCATGCACAGATACTCGTCGTAGGACACTTGCAGCCTGACAAACTCATTGCAGATTTTCAGCATTTGCTCGCATTGGTCGCTCATGAAGGGCAGCTTCATACGCTCCCTGAATGGGGAAGGAGAAGGAAGTGGAGGGAGGGAGAGAGAAAGAGAGAGAGAGAATGTTCAAGAGGTAGAGACAGACAATGAGGAACAGAAAAAACAAGATGCAGGAGAGAAACATACAAATTCCTGTTGTTCAATATAAAGCCCCAGCAGGGACGCACATGTATATGAGCGCGCACACACACACACACACATATATACATATATATATATATACACACATATATACATACATATATATAGACATACACACATATATACACATAGATATATACATACATACATAGACATATATACACACACATACTGTATATATATATATATACACATATACATACACACATATATACATACATATATATAGACATACACACATATATACATACATATATACACATGTATATATACTGTATATGTATATAAGAAATGGAGTCGTGTTGTTACGTACTTGTTGATGACCAGGTCTGGGGCGAAGCACAGCATGCTGCCGTTACACTGCTCATATGACCGCCATCCAAGACTGAAGGACATCAGAAAGAGCCAGGAGCACTGCAGCAGTGTCATCTGGTCGTCCAAATGCAGGTTGCGGAAGCCTGTAAAGAACAAATGAGACTAGTGACATTTTGAATTGAGTCCTGTGGTAAAAAGAAAGAAAGAAGGGATTTGACATAATGTCACCAAAGAATTGCACATTGAGCATGGTTTTGTAAAAGTTTACATACATTAAGGATGATCAAATCTACTGTAATAAAACTGCATTGAGATCACAATTCACTTTCACTTCACATGAGTTTTAATAGGTGGCTGTTATGTAAAAGCCTTTCTCCAACTGTGCTTTGCCTCAACACCTTGGCAGATCTCCAGCTTGAGACTAAACACACAAGACAGGAGCCAGAAAGGTGTCCTGTCATACTGTGTTAGTTCATTTGACTTGACAATTCTCACAGCGTTTCTCTAAATTACAGCAACTCATTTTTTTGACTTTCACTGAGGAATGACACCAATGCTGACAAACAGATGCTTGTTCAACTGAGGAAGACTGGTGGCTGATCTGGACAACAAAAGAAATGTTATGTAACATTCTTTGACCATCTGCCTGCACAAACTCTTTGTGAACATCTCTGTTTTCTCGAAGTCCTCCCCACGCACACCTCATTCAGAGATCGTTCACTAAAGCAGTGACATAAAGACTACAATTTCTGGACCAAATTACCCCTTGCAGTAGTTTGACTGATCCTGTGTTCCTATATATATATATATATATATATATATATATATATATATATATATATATATATAATTTATGAAAAATACAAAAATACATCTAATTATATCAGTGGCTACAAGAAGGAACCCTACACACAAGTGACAACTGAACATTTCTCCTGCCCCATAAAGAAGAAATCACAAGTCCTAACCATTAAGAAGGCAAATAAAATGAGAGTGAAAAGAAAAGGCTCTACTGAATAATTTAGACTGCTCATTATAACACACAACCAAAAATTGTTATCAATTTGCAGGACAAAAACTGACTAATACATGGGTGAGTCTGACAACAGCCCAGCAGAACTTCAGCTTCTTCCAGAAATGGCTGAAAAATGTAGAAACGCTACAGATAATGAATGGAATCAGAGACAAGGTATAATATCAGAAACCTGTTGGACCTGATAAACTGTATGTTAATATATTCAGCCTATGTTCTTTAGGCTGCTGCGAAGATGAAAAGTATTTCCAGATCAGATTTAAAACCTGGTGGGAGAAACTGTACATTATACACAAAGCAACTGATTAAAACTATGGCTACCTGGTAGTGACTTGGCCCACTTGACCGCAGAAATGACCTGCTGCCCACCCAACCTGTTGAGTGTGGACATGAGGCGTGACGAGGTGTCAGGCATGGTGCCGTCGTAGCCGGAGTAGATGATTTCTGGCTCGATGGCTTTGAGCACAGACAGCATGGGTGGTATGAGCGGAGGCATCTTGGGGATGATTTTCGGGCGTGGTCTCTTATTTTTCCTCGCTGAAAAACAAAGAGGTACGACAGTTCATTGAGCAGGCGTTCATTTCTCAAAATCCTCATATGCTTTTTTTTTTGTTCTGAGTTGATTGTGTACAGTGTATTTGACATAGAAACATCATTTTAACCCACTTGGAACGTCACCAACAGAGGGGTCATATCATAAAAATGCCTCACACAGACGTCGTTAACAAACTGTACACACAGAGGAATCCCCCCTCCACCCCCTCGAGCAGGACTGCTTCCTTTGATTTATGTGCAGGAAATTAACATTGACATGAAAGAAGTGGGTGGTTGCTAACTGTTGTCATTAGCTTCTCCTCCACAGAGAGGTTTAAACCTAATAGGAGGCTGGGGTTGGATAAACAGAATTTTATTAGCTATATGATCATTAGTTTATATAATATTTGCACCACTATTGACAAAGGCCTTCAGCATAAAAAAACAGACTTAAATTAGACTCACTAAGACTTTTTAATGTACATTCAACTAGAAAGTAGCACGTAACCACTGGGAGTTTCTAAGTTCTTAACACTAAACCTTTAGAAGACAAATTACAAATTACAAAATAAAAAATTAACTCTGCGATTTGGCATTTTTCACTTTTGTTTGGGTCTCATTGGTTGGAATGGTAGAGTTCAGGTGATGAGGCGCTAGCACTGTTCAATCTACTTTTTTTTCTTCTAAATTTTTCACGAACACAATACAGGTAAGAACAAACAGCTGTAATTTCGTTCTGAATATGTACATTATTATTTGGCATTTCTCTACCACCAAATGAGCACAATGTGACGGGGTGAGAGGTTATAGTGTGGGGAAAAAAAACCAATAGGTTTTTTTTTTTTTTTTTTGCTACCCACTACCTTATTTAATTACCTTTCCCAGTGTTTCTATGGTAACTAAGAGCCTTTCTGGTGTGAGTTTGTCTGCTGATGTACTGATGGCCATCAAAAACCTCTTTCCATCTTTGTTTCTGCCTTCCCTGTGTGGCTACGTTCACCTCTGTCTGATGAGCAGAACATCTCAGTCAACAGCTGTTTCTGCAAACTAGAATTTCAAATCCTGTCACAGCAAGGAAAACATGTTCTAGGGACATTTAGGGACTGTTACATTTGACCTGCTGCATCCACTGTTAGACTCCCTGAGAACCTTGTTAAAGATCATCAGGTTATCCACTGTGACAGACCCTGTGATGTGACTTGGAAGTCTAGCGGAACACATCTTGGTTTCACTGCGGCACAATCAGTGTATATGCAGCACACCCCAGCCATAAAACCTTCAGTCAGACGTGCATATAAATGTCAGCCATTTTCAAAGCCTATCAAAGAGATCAAAGAGTGCTGCGCTGTTGTACAAATAGCCCACTTTGTATGTATGTGTCAATAACCAAGAGAAAAATAAAAATCGGGTTTTGGAAAAATATTAACATTTCTTTTAAGTAATGTCTCTCTGCTTACATACTAAATAGAAATGTTTTTATTGTACAGTGTAGTCTATGGTCTGTACCGTCCAAGTTCATTCCAGCTTCGAGACACTTCCTGAAACGGCAGGCTGGACAATTCTTCCTGCGGATCTTATCAATGATGCAGTCATTTCTCCCCGCACAGAGGTAATTGTGCTGACCTGCAAAGACAAAAAGGAGATGGAAAGAGAGCAATGTGAGACATGCAAGGTAGCTGAGTGAGTTTCATAGAGAGTAGGCTTAAAAAGTATGAATTATGAGCCCCATATTGGTAGACAGAAATACATAAAGTCTTTTACTTTTGCTGGTCAGTTTACATTGCTTTGCTCCGGATGTGGCCTGATATTGTCTACATCTCTACCATCCTTAATTGAATAAGCATTTGAAAATAAATGTATTCATGGATGCATGGATATGGATCCAAGTTCTCATGCTTCCACTTAAATAACGGTGCTAATCCAGCAACTGGATACACCTACGCTGGATACATTCCTACTGCTGTTCAGTGTCTCATTGCCTAAAAGAGCTTTTTTGAACAGCAGTTTGGAGGTATTTGAACATCATGGACAAAGACAGGAGTGAAGCTTACTGTAAGATGTAAGACATAGCACTGAATATTAGATCAGTGGACAAGTGAGGCGTTTAAACCTGACAAAAATTCTCTCTTATTTGTTGAGATGCTTTTTACTAATATTGTGTATTAATTTGTTTATTGAAACATGGAAATATCCTTAGTTATTTTATCCTTAGTTTTATTGATATATTGTCTAATGCTTTAGGAGTCTTTCATTAATACAAGATTTTTTTGGTATTAAAACAAACTTTTGTTAATGAGGCAAAAATAAGCTGTAAACTGTCCTGGCTTCATGTTCATTCGCGTGGTTTGGGCTGAGCTCTGTACACACACATTGCACAACTGTTGAAAAGCATGCGAACGGCAGCAGTCTTTTACGATTGACATCAATCATATAGCAAAGTTCAAAGCGAAATTGTTTTCACAATGATGACACAATGAGGAACACTATCACTGTTTGTTTTCCTCTTCCAGTATATTTCCAGAAGACTCCTTTAAGGGCAAGGAATAATAAAACTTGTGTTTTCTGTTTAAAAAAAAAAGTCCAGGTCTACCTTGCCATCAAATTAAAACTGAAGGAGCACAGGCCTAAAATATCTGGAGCTGTCAGTGGATGGGGAAGAACCTCATGCTCTTGGCTAGTATTATGGCATTCTGTATGAGACATTCCCAACCACACTGGGCCTTTAAAACAAAAGCTGTACGTATTGCATTTTAAGACACACCTGAAATATGAGCCTTTACATTCACCAGTTTGTGTCAGTAAATTTAATGAATAATTACTATATGCCTGAGACTCTTTTGCAACAATGGGAGAATCCCCGGAACAAGCCGGAAGCATGACACGCTCACAATCACTTCCTGTGAGTTCTCTGTAGTTTCTCAGCAGATAATTCCCTATGCTGGCAGTCATACCATGGAGTTGCCAGCCCGACTCTTAATGTGCCCCTGACAGAGTACATTGGGAATTGTATTTTCTATTTAAAGCTGCAATGAATATTTGGAGTTAAGCCCATGTCTGAAATGCTCATGCTATATCCAAGGGTCACTCTAGGCCACAGTGGTTAACAGTGTCCTGATTTCACCTTGTACATTGCCTGTGTAACAGAGACTAAAGGATGCCACACGGATCTCAACAAAAATAATGAATGAAATGGACACATTTATTTAGGAGATGTTACCAAATGTTCTCCAGTACGTATCAGAAATTATAAAAGAACTACAGATTGCTGTTGACCAAATTAAGTAATGTGACTTTTATAGAATAAATGCCTTTTATAAAATAATATATTTTTGGTAATTTTGCACTGAAGCTGCTGTTTAAATCTGGGCAAATATGGAGAGAAAAGTAAATGAAATATCAGCACAAAAACACCTCTTTTTTAAAATGCTCAGCTCAAGTTGTAGTCTTATTTTTATGTGAGACATATTTAGACATATTTGAGACACCACTAACACTAACGCCATTACGTCACTTCTTTACAAGTACCGCCATTTATATTCACGAGTTACATTTTGAGAAAGCAAAGCGGTTTTTCTGGCATGGTTTGTGTTCTTAAACTGCAGTCCTGTTGGTCAAATATAATAGCAATCTGAGTAACGCCAGCTGAGGTCACGAGTGTAATCATAGGGAGAAAAAGCAAACCAGAAATGAAACAGCCATCTGTGGTGTTAGATCATTAACACTGATTTCCTGTTTTTCCTATTCTGCAACAGTTGGTGACACTTTAGTTTGCAAATGCAAAAATTTCTAGCTGCTCAGTTTCTAGGTATGGGCTACAGATAGCTTGACCAAGCAATGGGTTCTAAACCACTCCACTTATCCATCATAATGTGACAGCTGTCTTAATGACTTATTTAAACACGTTTGACTTGTCAAACACAAAAAGTGTGAAACTCCCCACTGTTTGTTTGTATTAGTAAAGACAGGCTGAAGGCTGTTTTCAAGTCTGCAAAGCATTACTGATTAATCTTAATTGATTCAATGTAATGCTGTCTGAAGAAGTACAAGATCCTAATGGATATATTAATATATTATATATATTAATGGATATATTGTACTAAGATGCTTGTTATCAAGGGAGATTGGTACTAAGATGCTTGTTATCAAGGGAGATAAGAGGCAAAAATCATTAACCACCTCTGAGCTGGTTTCTCTGACTCATGTGGAGGCACATGAAAAGCACTTGTTTTTGTGAGGAAACAAAAACACATTAGAATCAATTTCTCTTCATAAAAGAACCAAAAAATACATATTTTTAAAATAATGCAAACTTGGTACTTGATGTTCTTCAGAAAATGTCTAGTTTACATAGTATCTAAACAAGAATGTTGATGTTCTACATTTAAGAACTATAAAAAGAAATGCTACAGAATACTGTTGACCAACTTAAGTAGAAGAGACATTTGCGAGATAAAATAGACTAGACTAGAGATAAAAAAAGACTGTTATAAAAACACAAATAAATAACTTACTACATCACAGGTTTTTCCATCTACCTACTGATAGCAATGGCTGTCATTGGGATGGCATATACTTTACATTCCCAAGTCAAGAATTGAACCCACAACCCTCTAAGACAGGGATGTCAAACTCATTTTCAGCAATATAGTTCCCCTTGTAGGGCCGGTTGTAAATGGAAGACTGTATAGATCAGGGGTCCCCAACCCCCGGTCCACGGACCAGTACCAGTCCATAGGTCATGTGGTACTGGGCCGCAGTGAAAATATGTAATTAATTTTTCCTAATTCATTGCATTCAAAGAAAATCCAGTCATATCCATTTAAAATTTCATTCAGACTCAAACAGAGTCAGAGTCTAAAAGATGTTTTATTTTGAAATTTAATGATCCTTCAATGCTCAGCACCTTGGTACCGTTCTGCAGTAACAGGTGGTAAAAAAGGTTGGGGACCGCTGGTATATGATGTCACTACTCCATAACAGACTAATACATGTTTCTGCAATCAATTATTATTATTATATTATTATTCAAGCTAAAAATATTTTAAATTTCTGTGTAATAAAAAAAAAACAACTTTTGCATGGACTAAGCTCCAGCGGGTCACACAAAACAGCTTGGCGGACCGCATTTGGCCCACGGGCCTTGAGTTTGAGCTGTGCTCTAAGATGTAACACCAAGATATATCTAGTACATAAACATATTGTCTAATTAAACTGTGCTTTCTTGTTGCTTTTTGGAATTAAGGGGTTACACATGTTATGCAATTATGTTGCAATTATGTTATTATGTAATGCTGATTTCCACAGATTTTCAGAGTTAGGCCTGTAATGGCCAACACGTTTAGAGGACATGGGCAGAAAACATGGTAAGTCGTATATACAATTCTCAAAAGAGCCATTGAAACACAGGGTTAATTAAACACAAAACAACACATAGCTGTTAAAGCTGCAGTGGTAATTTCTGGATCACATCTCACAATAAAATTGTGGGTCAAGTACCGGGAAAATAAGCAAGGCAGCGAAAGATTAAAATCATTGCAATCACCACCACGTCTCCATGAGATTAGCCCACGTAGCAGAGAATTAGAGGAAAAAGGAAAAAATATCACCCACAGGCATTTCATGTATATTTAAATTACAAAATTGGAATATTGGCATGCATTATCATGGACAAGTCATGCATTGTGGAAGGTCACTTTGCAATGCCGTAAGAATACAGTGACAATTCAAATCAAAGTGATTTGAGTTTTACCACCATTGTTATCATATTCTTTTTTTCTAATAACTGTGAATTTCATTGCTATGGCTATTGAGGTAATTATTGAAAATGTCTTTATTTACCATCTGTGTTTTGTCGTGCTCTCCATCCTTCACCATGGAGAAAACAACCAGAGAATGGAGAGGGGGAGAAAAACAAGAATAACAAATCTCAGTGTGCAGCTAGCTTCATTCCGTAAAACATAAAAACGTCCACTTAAGGAAATGAGGTGAGCACTACTGAATATATGGGCTGCAATCATACAAACATCATTAGAAAATGTTGTTCTATGTATGTTTACCATACAAATAATTAATTTAAATGTGCTTTCATAAATACTTATAAGAAGTCACAGTTTTTAAACTTAACATAACAATAAAATACATTTTTGTTAAACATGTTCAGATGACCTAATGTAGTAATAGGACTGGAACTGCAGTAGTATTCCATAAGTAATGTTAGTTTTATACACGGACAGAAACAAGGAGTGAGTTAAAAGGAAAGATCCACCAAACTGTAAACAAATACATAAAAATGCCGTCCAAGTCATAAATGCACACACACAGTTTTTTGTTCCTGTTTAAATATACGTCTCGTCTTTTTTTGTAAAACATACAGTAATTCAAGTTGCATTTTTATCCACAGATACGTAGGAGGGGGTAGAATTGTCATGTGCAATTACTTAAAAATAAAACTTTGCTGCGTATATGTCTATGTTACCAATGGGCCTGGTTGAACCAATTGAGTAGACACAGAACATCTCACTGCGTTATTTAGGTTCCTTGATTGAGTGGCTGATGAAATATAACAGGTGGAACCAAAGCGCGTCATTTAAGATGTTCAGTAAACATGGCTGAATTAGAGTTACAGGTCAAGAACAATAACATTATTCCGGCAGCCCCATCTTAAAACCTCATGTGTGGCAAAATGTCAAGAGACACCCTGAAATGTTCTTATTTTAACACACAGTTGAAAAAAAACAGACTTAACACACTTAACGTCTATACGTCTATATACATTTCAAAAAGTCAGTTGCAACAGCCATTCATTAGAATTATTTGTAGAATAATTTTTCCCGCATATAATTTATTTGTAACCGGGGTAGAATTATTTTCACGAACATACAGAAGTCCTATTATTGTTGAAATAAACTCAATTTTCATTGATGAAGTTTAATTCTACAAAACTGGGCTATTTTATTTTGTATTTGAAATATGCTAGATAAAAAATACTGATGTATGCATCGGCACGATGGTTCTGTTTGACAAGTACTGTGTAATCTTAGTCGTAGATGTGTAAATCTGAATGGTGCCAAGTGTAATTTGTAAGTCCAATAAAACTGTTCAGTTCTATTTATAGAATAATGTCAAGTCACTTTAAACCAACATATCTCTCACATGGGGTCATGTCTTAAAGAGTAAGTCATTCTGGGAATGAAACTCACCTTCCACTGCTCTCTTGAAGAAAACCTTGCAGCTTCCACAGGTCACAACCCCATAGTGACATCCAGAAGCTTCATCTGAACAAACCAGACAGATCTTGTGAGTCGGCCCACTGAGCTTAGATGGTCCTGGCACTGCAGAGCTGCTGCCCTCTCCTGTTCTTGTAGAGGGGCTAAAATGAAGAGAAAATAAATGTAACACCAGTGGTTCTCAAACTGTGGTATGCATACCTGAAGTTGTACAAGTTCGTAAAAAATGAAAAATAAAGGAGAATGGGACATTTATAAGCTTATACTTCAAAAAATCAGTAACATGCAACAGTGTTGAAATCGATGCTATTCTCCATGCCAATTGTGTTCAACATAACTATCCTAAACAACCCCATTTAAAGACTGTTCCAAGTATATGCTAACTATATACAACCATGTTGTAGAGTGAAACCTAACCTGACCCAAAACAATTTGTTAGGTGTACACTGTCAACAAGTCAACTGAAAGAATGTGGGGATAAGATCATGCTGTCTACTGAAAGATTCCAAACTGGTGTAAGAGTCACATCTCCGTAATCTATCAAAGGAATTTAAAAGCATTAGAAGGGGCTCAGTTCTATCCCAATGAGCTTGGACTGCTTTTTCTCGAAGTACACAAATCAAGATTAGATGGACATTATGTAACACAGCTGGCACGCTGCACTTGGTAATGGGTCTACATTCATAGGTTGTCTCCTCAAACAAGCACGGCCTAACTTCACATTGGCTGGTAGCTTCAGGGTCACTGGAAAGACAACACTTTCCTGAGTAGTCTGGAAAGCAACCAAGAGGAGCAGTGGTGGCAGACCTGGGAATAAACCCAACACGTTTCCAAACATGAGTACGAGTCTGGCGGTGATCCGAATGAAACAGAGTCACAGTAAAAGCCACACTCATTTAGAGATGGAACCAACTTGGTGGAAAGATGATACACCAGCCATCTGGCCAGTGGGCGGTGGAGTAATGCTAAAATTTATTGTCAAACTGAAAGTAAACATCTCTTTCTCTTTGCTGCTTGTGATCACAAGCCTGATCACAAGCAGCAAAACAGTTACAAATAAATGACTGAAACTTACAGCACATGTGTACTGTACATGGGATTGGACCTAATTAGTTGCAAAAAAGGGTAAGAAATCCCTATGTTCTTTGTCCTCCAAAGGTGTCGTTGATTTTGTTATAAAAAAAATATATTCAATGCAAAACGGATTAGGAAAAAATATATAAAACAAGCTTTAGGACTAACAGATCACACGACACAGCCAGACATTTACTCCCACACTTTCTCACATGATTCTTCCACTGAGCCGGAATGTGTGACTCTATGCTACACGGAATCCTCTGATAGTGGACTAAGGGAAAAAGTCACAGAAACCAAAACCATAGTTTAGTGTTCTTTTGACCTGAGCTGAACTGTTTAGACTTAAAATTTGAATAAACATGGGGACCCTAGTAAAGATCTGATTTATAATAATGTGAATATACCCCTTCCTCGTTCCTCTTCCCATCATCCCATTCTCATTTTCTATTATATAATAACTACTGCTGGTGCAGGCTATCCAACCCCCACCCTGCCTCCTAACCAATCCGATGTCACTACTGTCAAGGAATATGGAGGAGGTCAAGCGAGTCATGGGATTATCCAGATCACCTACCCAGAGACAAGGATACACTGCATACAGTATGTCTGCTTGTGTGTAAGTGTTTAAGTGTGTTGATTTCGTCTTTGAGCGGTGTCTTTTGGTTGCTAGAGAGGAGCGCAGTTATAAAGCTACCCTTGTTTTAGAAATCCCCATGTTACTGTGTGATGCCTCCATCTTTTGTTCCCTGTTTTCCCACTAAATTGCACACTAAACCATCCGCCCCTCCTGACTCAGTGGTCTTAACATCTCCTACACACTGCTGTCACTTAATCAACCATTAAAAGCCTCTGTGTTTTCAGCACCACAGAGCTATGATTATTTTTGCTATTTTCTAATACTGTAGAAAAACAATACAATCAAAAATAATAATTGAATGTTAGAATTTCATGTTCGGATGGCTAACTGTAGATTTTTGTGTACAAATCGTGAGTCATTTGGGGGCTATCCATGTTATAGCAGATATGACATAGCAAATACATTGAACAATCCACATTGGAAGACAGTTGAGACAAGACAGCGTTACAAAAGCGTAAGGATTTCTAGATAAGAAAAAGAAAATGCGGAACTTGAAATATGTCGGTCTGGAAACGCCAATGTTATTGTTGCTCATTAATTAAAAATTATATTTACATGTCTCTATGCTACTGCACACTGCTTTGGCAAATAGTAGACCTCTTATTAGCAGCTGCTATGATATGTAGCATATGTAGATATAGAAGATAGATTAGCCTCTCTGGATGATTTAACATAATTTAAATTTAAAATAGACTACAATATATCAGAGCTGTGATAATACAGAGCTGTGTACTGTATATCATTGTTTACCAAGCACACATGATTGACCTACTACATAGCTCAACACAAACTATTCTTGCACAGCTGTAACATGAGAGCAGGATGGACAAAAATGCTAACAAGTAAAAATAATTAAACAAGGAGCTATGCCTGTTTGAGCCTTGGTGTGACAAGTAAAAACCTGGGAGAAAAGAATGAGTCAGACCGCAAGTGAAGTCTGAGAAAAAAAAACAAGTTTATAAATCATCACAGCACTTCTATTTCCCATTACACTAACAGAAACAGAATGTCAGCTCCTCCAAAAAGATTTTACACCAACACAGAAGGTCATTTCATGTCCACCAGGACTGAAATAACTTTTGATTTGGATTCCAAAGTAAGCCAGACACTACCATTTTATAAGTTCTGATTTAGCTTCTTTTTTAAAAAAACATTATTTTCAGGTGCTTGGGATCATGTAGACACATAAAGTGCCTTTAAACATTAGTAAATCTGTGGAAGAGAAGAGAAAATAATTTCTAAGCAATATAGACCAGGTATTTTGCATCATTTTCAAGGCGTGTTTATAGGCATATTATTACACATTAGGGATGCATCAATACAAATACCAGTGTAGTCTATTACCAACATATGTGTTCTACCTATTTAATGCTGTCTTTCTGTTCATTGTATACTTACTGAAACCGAACCCTAAAGGCTTATTTGGTTTTTAATCACTTGATCGGTTTGTAAAAATTGGTATTGGGAAGATAATAAGACTAAGCCAAGAGTTTTACTATTCATTCTTCAGCACAATAGTCAACAATATGAAAGGGTAGTGTCTGTAATTTGATACAAATTACAATGACAGGGTTGTAGGAGATTAAAATCTGCTGTAGTTGGAACACCAAGTATAACTTGAATGGAAAATTGTAGTACAGCTCTAATTAAGCCTGTAAATTGTGTATGGCACGATGTGAAGCGCAGGGAAACGTGAGCTTGCCCCTCTGCAGGGAACCTTCAATTGCTTCCTGTAGATTCAATTAGCTGCAAACACATTGTGTTTCTTAAACCAGAGAGATGACCACGGCCTGAGGTCACAAACACCAGCCATTTCCAGCCTTTGTGCCCTGATGTTATTAGCTTCCATTTAGCACCCTAATGTTTTGCCCTCAAATTACCCACAAAAGAGCCTTTTTTTTTATAGAGAGAGAGTAAACTGTGGGTTGCAGTGCGTGCTGCTGCCTCTGAGGAACAAGGGCTATTCATTTTGATCGGCGAATTCCCTTATAAAGTATAGCAACTTGTAAACAGAATGGTATCTGACCTCAAATAAAGTGTAGCTGTTTCAAATTGATTTTTTTGTCCTGCACTGTTTCTTATTTGATTAAGTCCTCACATGTTGGGATTTTAATGGGGTCAATGTGTAGGAAGAGCATCCTGGTGAACATCAATGAAGTGAATACCATTTTACTGAAACAGATTTTAGTGTTGCCTCAGGAAAGACAGAAACTGTCTGCTTGACATATAGAAATGACATGTGCTGATTTATTGCAGTAACAACTGTATTAAAAAACTTTCTAAGCTCAAGATCAATGGTAATGGTTTAGAAAAACAAGAGGATTCCTTAGAAATAATTCCATTTCCAATAACTTGCTATCCACAATATACATGAAAGCTCATAAAGTAAAAGAAACTAGAATAGAAAATTTAAAATACTGATTTTGGGACAGATTTTTAGATGTAAGGTGGGTTAAGTAGTGGTAGAATATACCATTAAAATAAGAGGATGTTGTTTTATCATAACATTTGATGGCAGAGACGTAGTTGTTAAGTGAGAGAAGAGACAAAGCTAATTTTAACATGTCCCTGTGACCTGATAATGCACATAATGGATTTGAATGTAACCAGAGCGCAGAGGTAACTGGGCAGTTGTTGAAGCACAGCCTTATAAATAAACAGCACACAATGTCACTCCCGTCTGTCATATTGGACAGTGATGAAGTGCAGCAAAAACTGTGATGTGCTTCAAAAGGCTTTAAGCTGAAGGCGTGAGATACATGTGTTGTATGATGTAACCGTGGGTGACGCCCTGGAACATTCTAGGCCATGACACTATGTATTATTAACTAGCAAAATTGAAAATATAGCTTTACAATGGGATGAGATCTTCTCAAAAGAGCTAGAGTTGGACGCTATTGACAAAAAAAAAAAAAGAATAATCGGTTTAAATAGCGAGATATGATTAGTGAGTTTGAAATATGTAAACATTAAGTTTCTCATTGCTCAATGCACAGACACATTAAAAGTTAACAGGAGAAATACATTAAGGAAAAGTCACAACAATTATTATTAATAAATAAAAGTGTGTCTGTCCAAATGAACCTGTCACTGGAAAGTCACACACTAGACCATAGTTTTACTTATACTGTAAAATAGTAGTACAAACAAACTCAAATAGTACAAATAAAGCAACTTCAAGTTCAAATGTTTATCTGTGTAATTTGTCTGAAAGAGAAAACTTGTTTTTCACTTCCCTCTCATGCATAGCGGGCATAACAATCTATAAGAAATGTTTTTAATATTGTAAACTAAATCTTGGGTTCACTGTTTTCATTAGTTTTGGAAACCAGAGTGGCAGCATATCTTTGCAATGCAACATGCCACGTCCTGCACTTATCTCCGTCCAGCGCTTACATTGCGGCTGATAGGGAACAGACTGACTGAGAT